CCAGGCTTGCAGGGCACTTCATCTCTATGTTTTTTTTTCTTATGGAGCATTTTAATAAATAACTAGAATTTTGGAGCATGCGGTATATGGTTCAGCTGCCTTCACCAGCTGTCTTATGAATAATGTACGTATTTGATTTCCTCTCTGTCCAAACAGTGGCTGTGTTGGTGCAGTAAATTTTGAAGACATTGACAATGCCAGCGTGGACTTAATCACACTCGCTTGTGTGCGAACTTCAAAGCCTCGCTACACAAGATCTTCACAGTATGTTTTCTTTATTAGCATGATTTGGGTGCTGCTTCTTGAGTTATAGTTACTTGGGAAACAGAAAAAAGGCCTGTAGTGTCTGGTCTTGTGCCACAACGGAAAGTCAGGGGAAATGCTCCTTGTTCTTTTGAGTTACTTGAACGAGGTTCTGTTAACACAAGAAGCACGGCGGGTTTTCAGGTACTCTAAAGACTGAACATGAAGAGTCCTTTTCAATAACCAAGTCAGCAATAAATGGCTTAACGGTGATCACTGCCTACAGTGGTCGGTGTAGGCTATATAAGATCTAAGGGACCATTCTGCATAGATGTACAAAATTAGTCAAGCTAGCTGATAATGCAAGATGAACCGAGAGATCTCTACTGAGATTATAGCGTAATAGATTTTATCCGTTTATTTGTGTTATGGTAAAATAACATGCAACCTAACGTATCAGTGTTACAGCTTCAGGGAAATTACACTCCTCACACCATGCGTTATGCTTTTCCATTAGAAAATGATTATTAGGTTTTTTCTTCCATTTTTCAGAAATTCAAAACTTTCTCACATTTTTTTTCTCTCCCCCCTCACTTTTAATTCACAGCACTTACCTGATATTTTGCAAAAAAGCTTTCAAGGCAATATCTTTGTCAGGGAAACATGCTGGCAGCAGTGTAAGTGAAACTTATATGCTCATGTATCCTTCTCTAAGCACCATTTTGCTGATATCGAGGATGGCATTTCAAGATCATAGAGTTTCACTGTGATCCAAGTGACCCTGAAATCTGTCTGGTACTGAATGATTGTAACAGACGAACAGTAATTGACTGTCAGACCAGAAGCTACCCTGAGCATGCACATCCTGGGAAGTATAGTCTCTCTATGATAATTCCAGTGCAATATACTGTCATCTTCGTGTTTCGAACTCTTCATGATCAACAGGCTCTGGCCTAGGATGAGAGACAGAAATCAGAGTATACTCTCTGTTTTGCTGTTAACCTTTCTAGTCTAATTGCAAGGCAAGGTTTAAGGACTGGGCAGACACTTTGCCCTTTTTCCGCTCTAAAAGGGTTGTTTGTGAAGCTAGTCTGAGCACATCTGCTAGATCATACCCCAAAACACCTGACTTGTGTTTCCTGATAAGGCTGAAACTGTCCAACATAGGCGTTTCTATAAATGCCCAGTGGCAGGGATAGAAGATTTACCTCTGGATGTCACTGGTGCAGGCTCAGCGGAATTTCTGTGGATGACAGCTGCACCTAAATTCTTTATTGATGTTCTTAGGGATTGAATTAAGGAATGCGAGTGCTCATCGCTTTTGAAAACAATGTCTGTTAAAAGTATCCAATTACACAGTCCCTTGATTAAATTTAAGTTTGGACAGGGATATGCATAATACCCGGAAAACTAGATGATAGTACTAGTAAATCTGGATATTTGTTTTTGTTATTATTTTATATAGTAAACTCTTAAAGATTTAAGTTTTTTAGTTTAAAAAAGCATAATTTCAATAAGCATGGTGGGACAACATTAATGTAAGAATGCAATAGTTCTGGAGAATAGTTTAGCAACTTGTGTACAGCATCATTCTGCAAAAGCAAGATACATGGTTGGGTATCAGTGTTCTTATGTGAGATGCGTAAAGCACTGTTAATATAATCAAGCTATATCTAACTATTAAATAGTATCATCTGCATACAAATTCCTTACATATTTCGGAGCAAGTACCTTTTCAACTTTTCTAACTTTCACTGATTCAGAGCTTTATCTTACTGAAAAAGCAACTTCTGTTTTTTGGTGTGCAGTTGCCTTAAAAAAGATCAAATCATAAATTAGCCTGTACCTTTTGACTGCTGTGTTACATTCAAGTCTTAACAGAGGGACCCAGGAATTTCTGCTAATGCTGTTCTGAAGAGTCCTTACTTCCAAAAGACCATGCTTGTTTACAAAGTATGGCACACTCTCATAGCTCGAGCATATTTTGTGCTTTAGTATTAATGAACAAGTGCATTTGGGTGGAAAAGCAAGTGGCATTTTTCAATGGCTAGTATGGCTTGAATATGGTAATGTTGAAAATATATGATTTTTAACTTTTAGCCACTAGATGTCCTTTGAGTTTGCAGAAGCTCTGTGAATGCCATTAGGAGCACCTCCTTACTTTTACTTAGATCATGAAAGTTGAAATTCAAAGGTTAACATTTTAAGCCTTTAAAACTTCCTAAAGTTGTCTTTGGTAACTTCAGATAGCAAGAAGCATTTATTTTCAAGCTTTGGAAAGCATGTCTGAAAATGGTAAAACAAAATAGGAAAGAGCCTGTTTTATTTACCTCATCAGATTTTCTCTTTGCATGGGCCTTCCATTCTGTGTTTTCAGTGGTCTTGGGCAGTCTACATTTGTGAGGAAACCACAGGAGAGATACTTTTTTGGGGGAAGCAGAGGGGAAGAAGCTGTAAAAATATTTCCCTCTCTTTTCTGAAGAAAATGCAGGATGCTGGGCCTTACCCATATATGGCAAACTATGTACTAAACATTCCCAATTGCTAGGAGCTGGCATGGAGGTGGCTGAAATTTCTGAGCCTACAGTTTAGGTCTATTCACTTCTGTTTCTATTATCAGTTTTGAGGAGAATGCATATCCTTTTGCACATGCTGCCACCTTTGTGGGGAACAGCACATTGCTCTTCTAACAGCCCTACTCAAAGCAGTAGGTTCACAGGCAAAGTAAGGTTCTACGCATTGTAAGATGGCTGACTTTGACCCATATTACTGTAACTAAACTAATACTATGCTTTTGTGTATATTATGCACCATTCTGATCTCACATCCTGCATAACACAGGTCATCTAATTTCTCACAGCCTTTATCTAACTTCTGCTTGAATTGGAGCGTAAATATTAGAAAAGTATTATTGAGAAATGCACTTAAAAATATAGTATACATAGGAGATTTCTCCTGTGCATGTATAGCATACAACAGAGATATCTTGAGTTTGTAGGGAAGTTAGCAGAGCTGTTAAGCCTTGGTTCTGCCATGTCGGTCTGCTGTTGCTGTAGAGCTAATGCGTGCGCTACGCTGTAAACAGAAAAACAGCTTGTCTGGAGTTAGTTGCAGTGTTTGGTATCATTGTGACTTTATATATTTGAGCACCAGGTCCTATATCACCTTCTCCAATATTTACCATGTCCTCTTCTGGATTTTCAGTGAGTGGGACTATGGGTTTCACTGATTCCTGACAGCGTGGAGAGCAAGTGCTCTGAGACCTAAAATATTCTGACATCTCGAAAACTCCTAACATGTCAGAAAAAAAAAAAACCTTCTTAAAGTATGTCTGTTCTCTGTATCTAAGACTGTCAGACATCAAGGTTGCTATGATTTTAAGCTGAAGAAAGAAAGTCAGAAAGGAGGCATAAAAATGATTCCTTTTTTTTCCTCTCACGCTCTTTTTGTGTTTGACAGTAGTTCTGGACAGATCCACAGAGCTATCAAGGCTCCTAAACTCCTACTGAAATCCTTGAGAAGTGAGAGATGTCATTTGGATTTAGAAGCCTGACCATGCTTTGCAAATCCCTAAAATGTAAAAAGCTCTCTGTAGATACTCCATGAAGAGTGAAAGTTAGTATCATCAGTTGTACTTCCTGTCTCTAGCTCTTGGGCAACAGCATCAGCTCTCAAGCAGTACTCTGGAGGGAGACACTGTTCTTCCCCAGACCACGCAAGAAGGTGGTTGCCAGTCTATTAGCAAAGCTGAAACTAGCTGAAGAGTCATCTGTCATAACTTTGCAGAGACAAACAGGAAGAGTGGTGAACCTAGGCATATTTTGTATGTTACTCTTGTGCCCACCCTCTCTTCCTTTTGCAGAACAGGAAACCATCTTCTATGTGTGTGTGTTTTTCTTTTAAGGAATTAGAAAAAAAGATAAAAGTCATGACATGCTGCAGCGGAGTCTAAAAGCCCCTAATGTAAGATCAGCCTAGTGAACAAGGCGCTGTACATTTATACAGCACCCCAGATGATACTCTGAAGTGCTTACTGTGCAGTTTGGAAGTTTTGCAGGTGGGAATCCAGATGCAGTGGGATTACATGGCTTGCCAAATACCCTTGGGAATCTATAGTGAAGTCAGGAGTGAAACTCTACATATCCTGAGTCCTGACTTGTGTCTTTTTTACTGAACTCTAATTCTGCTTTAAACTATTGAAATTGTGCTGTGTTTAAACTTGGTTAAAAAGACAAATTTTTAAAAGCAAAATTAGCACAAAATGTTGGCCGTAGTTCTAAAAGTTAGTCTGAGATACAAGTGAAAACTTAGGGATATAAGTCATCTTGTAAACTTTCAATTTTTTCTCTGAGGCCCAGACACAGAATGATTGTGGGAGACTTCATCTCAGTAAAAAGCCATGCCATAAGCGTTGTGACTCAGCTACAAGTGCTAACTTTATGAGTCTGAACTTATTATTAATCAAAATTATGTTTGTGATCTGGTGGCGGCCCAACGTGGCCAGTGTGCATTTCCATGCGGGAGCTGTGGAAATTCTTTTCTCCAGTGAAACTCTTCGTCTTCCCTCCTGACCAAAGATCCTGGATGGTAATTCAGTTCCTCTCATTCTCTTCTATGCTTTCATTAAAGCCAATCTTGGGAGTAAGGGATTAATTACATAATCTCTGGAGGTTGGTTCGAGCCCTGGAATATGGCATCATTCTAAATATCTTTGGTTTGTATATTCACTCCTGAACTTGCCTTAGGATGAACTTATTCCTTTCTTGCATCTCAGTTATGTTGCAATGTATGCCTAAGAGCTAGAGCCCTGTAGCATTTCTTTGCCGAAGATGACATACAAGTCTTTAAAAATAAATACAAGGCAGTCAAAAAATTAGGAAGTTGTGAAAACTCTGAAAATATCTTTTTAAGGCAGTTCTACTCTAATGTTGCTTTTTTTTCCCACTAAAAATGTTTTATAAAGCACATCATGATCTCGTTTTATAGCTCAGTGCTCTATCTACTGGATTACATTGTCACTT